CTTCTATGGCTTGATGATAGTGGTCAGGCTCAGCTGAGCTGACCAGCAGGAGAATGGATGAGATTGAAGAGATCCTTTGAGTAAATGGGATCCCTTGAATGGGATCTTCTCCCATTCTAGTATAATCTAATTCAAGGGGCCCAGATTGGTTGGAGAGAACAAAACCATCCAGGCAAGGAGAGTCAAATATCCTCAGCAAATATTGGCAGTGCTCATTTATTCTTTATTGGCCCACTACCCTAAAGGTGGGGGAAGACAATTCTAACCCAGAAAATATAATTAGTCAGCCTGCTGGTTTGAGCTCTAATTTAATCTGGGCAGCTGTGCCAGGAGCTTGTATTAGCATGACACTGGGAGGCGGAGAATATAATTATGGAGCAATAGAGAAGGGGAGGAGAAGTGGGATGGTGACCAGTGTGTGTCTGTGTTGGAGAATAGAGGGGGGACGTTGAAAATGGAGGTGAAGATTCCCTTGGGAGAAGGGAAAAGGAAAAGGGCTTCTGGCAGTGACTGGACACGGTGACTTTAATTTGGCTTTTGAGAAAGTGTGTGTGTGTGTGTGTGTGTGTGTGTGTGTTAGGGAGGGATTTGTAGCTAGGGGCTAGTTCACTCTGCATGACAAAGGTAAGCTTGAGAGTTGATAGATGGGCCTTGTGGGTTACCCTGAAGGGGGAAAGAAGAGGTGTCAGACAAGGTTATGGTTGAATTTGTGGGGAAATATTTTCAAACACCTTTTCACTGGGACCATATAAATGGGGTTTGAACTGTGTCTATGCATCACCTCCTTTTTGTTTAAGGAAGGAGAGCTGTGATTAACAGTATATACATTAAATGATTTCATTCACACAGAAAAGCTACCTCCTAGTAATTGACTTCCCAGGTACTTACTTTGTGCTGAGTTCTAGTTAACTATGAATCTTACACTTGTTATCTTAAGTAGGTTTTATAAATCTATATAAGGTATTGTAACCATTCATTTTGCTGAGGAAACTGAGGCAAGAGGCATTAAATAAAATACCCACAATCATATTAGCTAGTTGAGGGTACACTCCAAAGCCAGGCCTATCAGGATCTAAATGCTATGCTATTATTAAGCAACAATCCAAATAGGTATTATCTCCTGCATTTATCTATGAGACAACTGAGGTTCAAAGTGGTACTGTGTGTTGGTTCAAAATAGGAGTTAGTATCAGAACTGGAAATGGAGTTGGCTCTCATACAAATCTGTTTCTGTGTAGAGGACGTATGGCAGGAAAAGAGAGGATATTGTTTGCCAGAGAAAGATCTGGATACTTAGAAAGAAACTAATGGAAACCAGGTTGCCTCACACTCCAAGCAATGCTCTTTTCACTATTAGTGACAAGTGTGATAACAGCTGGCTTCTTGGCTCAATGACAATGGACATGGTGACATGCTAAGCTTTACATCCCCTGGCTTCAGTCACATACCACTTTGACATGGGCACTATTGTCCTGCATATGAGAAGACAACACTTAAGCCTATGCAGCTTGCCAGACTCAAAGAATCTGTTAATGACTGGGCAAGGATTCAAGTCCAACAACCCATACTCTCCTCACTGCCCCTCAAGGAAGCACACTGCTCCCCTGGTATCATTACTCACCTTCTGTGCCCCAACAGACCTGCAGGGTTCATCTATCCTGCAAGGTGACAGAACACCTCAGAGTTCCATGGAAATCTTTCTCCACATCAAGCCAACTCAGGGCCACTCAAATGAATTCTGAGGGGGAAAAGGACCTATAGAGATACATTGGGCATCATTTTCTTTACCAAGAGAGAAGTTTCCTTGCTTCTTTCAACCTTTGCCCTCTTCTTCAAGGATCTCCAAAATCATTCTCTGCTCTCTTATAGTTGCCTCTTGCCTTATAATAAAAAAGCAGAGATGTCCAGTTTTCCCATTTCTTTATACTTTGAGATTCTGTTACTCTTTCAACTTTTTCTTAGGCAAAAGCCACCTCAGAGGCCTTAAGAGCCTCTAGGTACCAGTGGAAAGGAAAGCAGTTTTCTTCCCCTAGGGAGAAAGAGAGGGGCCTCTGAAAACCCAGGATCTGAAGGAACAACCCTCCCTACTGACTCTGGTCCTGCTTGCTCAGCTGCTAGACATCTGCCCTACACCCAGGAGTGGGTCTTCTCTGGGGTCCCTGCCAGTCTCCTGGGCTCTGCTGAGAGGTACTAAAGAAGCACAGATGTGTTCTGCATCCTGAAAGCTGTGGGCATCACGCGACAGCTCCACAGCCATGTCCAGGAAGCCAGAGGAGGAATCATGACTTCAGAGTCTCGCGCTTTATGTCTGCTGCTCCTGCTTTCATTCCCCATCTCTTCTCCCTTGCTCCCCTAAATCCTTCCCCCTTTCCTCAGAAGAAGATGCAAACTAAAATCAGAGGTCTTGACTGAAAGACTAATCTTGGTTTGCTCACTCACACTGTGGGCACTTATCTTCAGTAGGCAACTGGCATTTATTTTATGTTCACCATAGGCTGCTGTGAAAGTATTAGAAAAATGTATGTTTAAAAGCTAATTATGTCCATTGTGAAACAATGACAAAATTGCTCTTAAAATTGTTGGTGCAGTCAATGGAGATATAGAACAGAAAAAACAATAGTATTTTTTAGAATTAGAGAGATGAGCAATCTAGTCTTCCCATGAGACTGCTCGACTTCAGTGTCTTTATCTGTGTAGTGGGAATTGTAACATACGCCTAGAATGATGGCGATAAAGTTTAAGTGACAGTATGTACAGTGAGTCAACTAGAAGCAAGATCGTGAAGTAGTCAGAGTCTAATAAACATACGTTCTCCTCAATGTGATACAGTTTTACAGTGTTAGAAAAATATTTGTTCTCTCAAGGATTCTGATGTTCCCCAAATCCAGTACAGAGTTGCAGGTCTCTGATCTTATCATCCTGCTGGGTGTGCCTTTCACTAGATACCTGCCCAAGTAAGCAAATATAACCAAACTGTCTAATCAGAGACATGTACTATGTCAGCCTGGAATCAGAGCATCCCTCCCCCAATTTGCTGAGATCGTTGTATTTTTAAGCTCAAAGTAAAAGAGTCTTGCAGTAAGTTAGTAGAACTCTAGTATAAGAGTCCCAAGGAGGAGGAAGGAAGATAAAACATGGAAGTTAGAAACAGTAAAATCACACACATACACACACAGCTTCCAGAGTGCTATTTCTAACTTGGCTCTGATTTTATCCCACTCATCTCAATTTTCAGTGTCTTTCCATTGTGAAGAAAATAAAATGCCCAAATTAATGGGTACAAGTCAAAATTTTGATATGCGATAGAATGTTTACATAGTTTTAAAATATTTTAAAATACTTAATAATTTAAAAAGAGAAATTATAACTTTATAGTAATAAAAAAGGAAAATACTACATTGTGTTCCAATATTCTTCCTGATATGATGCACCAAGAAAAATACAGCATCACACACAGCAATCCTGACAAAATCCCTTATGCAAACTTGATTACAACTGCAGACAAGGCAAATTGAGGGGTGCTCTACAGAATAAAAGCACTATCCTCTTCAAAAGTATCAATGTCATGAAAGATAAAGGAAGATAGAGGGAAGATTAAAGAAGGCAAAAGAGAAATTAAAACTATATGCAGTGTGTGATCCTCAAAATTGCTATAAAAATGATAAAACTTAAACAATCTATAAATTAAATCCTAAGAAATGTTAAATTTCCTAGTTTTGATAATCACGCTATAGTTATAAAAATCACTATTCTTGGTTTAAAATAAAGGTGAGAAGCACAACATTTATAATATAATCTTCAAAAGTTCAGTTTAAAAAGGATAATAAAGCAAAATATTTAACAATTATAAGTTGGAGTGACAAATGTACAGTTGTACAGAAGTTATCTTTACTGTTTTTACAACTTTTCTGTAAGTTTAAATTATTTCAAAATAAATATTTAATAATCAAAATAGAGTTCAAATCATTCAAATAATTCTTGAATACAAAAATATGGCATTCAAGTAATTCTTATTCAAAACTCCACTTCTGTTAAGTATCTTAGCTTCAATTCCTTCTTTCCCATTGAATAAATTTCAGTAAATCCACAAAGACCTACTGATTTTTCCTCAAACATATCTTGCACTTTTCCATCTTGGAATCTGTACTACTGAGACCTCTCAGTTAGACAGCCTTCTTGTCCTTAAACTTTTGAAATACTCTTCAACCCTGGACATCCTTAATTAAAAAATGAACAATTGAAGGGGAAATATCTTAGTTGCCAATTTAGCTCTAAATCCACCCAGCCTTCTGTGATCCAAATCAGATAAGCTGTGGTTGTCCAGATGCTCCCAAACTGGGTTATTTCTGTCTGGGTTAGGTCAATCTTCTGGGTAGCTGAGTGGGCTCTGATTCTCACCTGTCACTGCAAACTCAGCGAATGGGAGTAGGTTGCCGCCTAGTGGTTCTTATCAGTACATCAAAGTAGGAGGAGCGTCTCTAAACACAGGTTTGCAGGGTGAGAAAACGGAGACATAGTCTCATTTAGTAAATCATAATATCCACTTTCTAAATTTTAAGGATTTGGGTTAATATATGCTTATCACTAGTCTAATAATATAGCATGTTAATATTATTCACATAATAAGTGATAGGTATTATTAAAAATGCCACAGTACACTAAAAGAATCTTCATGACAATTTATTTTCATTTCATCATTTCACAGTTAAGGAATTTACAATCCAGAAGAGGGACAGAGCAAGACCTGAGGGGCAAGCTACTATTCCTCACCCAGAGGAGTATGACCACATGCAGACCAGAAGCCATGGGTTCAAGATACATATAGCCAACTCTAAACCAGGTAGCTGCAGAACACTGTATTTATTTATTTATTCACCTTTTTCTATCTCTTTTTGGTACTGTGAATCTAACCTAAGACCTCACCCTTTGCCAGGAAGGCACTGTGCCACTGAGTTATATTTCCAGCCTACACTTCCTTTAAGTATTTAAGTCTCACTCACATGCGTTGTCTCATTGCTTTGTCTTCTAAACCAGAGGAGGCAGGCTGTGGGAGGAGGACTGCGGCAAGGACAGGTGCCTGAGAAAGATGAGCCTTTTCCTCTGTGACCCAGAGGATGGCCTCTTTCCGTTTGGGTGGGGGTTACATTTCGGTTTCACTTTCTCTCCTTTGTGAATCATTTCCTTTCAGATTTTCTCCCCAGGCCGTCTCTCTTCCTCTTCTCCATTTGTTCATCTTTCTCAAAGCCTGGCAAAAAAAAAAAAAAAAAACCTCTCTTGGTCCCGCGACGTCTGCACAGACCTGGATCCCTCTCTGATCTGGAAGCAGAGTTGCACTACTTCCCCTAATTATCAGGACAGGACAGGAAGGCAAAATCCTACGCTCTGGTTCCCCACCCATCACCGGGCTCTGCTGCACACTTACTCCTGGGGGCTGATGTGTACTTTTCTACCAGAGTCTCCAGTTCCCTGTGACGGAGGGGTACAACCTAACTTTGGTGGTTTGGCCTCAGAACTTCCGGTTTTCCCTTCTGAAAAGAAGAGAGAAAAACTTATTTGTGTTCAGAAGCTGCTGGTCCTCCAGTCTGTGACCTCCTCTTACCACAACCCAAACCCCCATCCCCTAATCACTTCTCACTCTAGCCAGTCACTTTCCTTTTTTCCCTGCTGCCATAGATAGAGCAGTTTCCAGATTCTTTTCTGTTATTGTACCTTTTAATGCTTACCTTTCTTAGGATTTTAGAGTGCTGAGTCCCAGTTCAGTGTTCCTCAGATCCATGAGATCACTAGGGTTCTGGTACCTGTTCCATATTCCCTCCAAAATTGCTATGACCTGAATGGTCTTCCCTGTCTTCCAATGCATATGTTGAAATATTAATCCCCAAACTGATGGTATTAGAAATTAAGGAATTTCTTTCTTTTCTTTCTTTCTTTCTTTCTTTCTTTCTTTCTTTCTTTCTGTGTGTGTGGTGCTGGGGATTGAACTCAGGGCCTTGTGGATGCTAGGCAAGCATGCTACCACTGAGCTACATGTCCCAGTCCAAAATTGGGGAACTTTTGTAAGATAATTAGGTCATGAAGACAGAACTCTTGTGAGTGGGATTAGTAACCTTATAAAAGTTACCACACAGAGCTAGCTTTCCCTTCTACCATGTGAAGTCACAGTGAAAAGACAACTACATGGAAACCAGGAGGCAGCTCTCGTCAGACACTAAATCTGCTGGCACCTTGGCCTTGAATGTCTCTGTCCCCAAAGCTGTGAGAAATACACATCTGTTGCTTATAAGCCACCCACTTTTTTTATTTTGTTATAGCAGTCCAAGTGGATTAAGTCAGTTTCTACTCACCTTAAATACTCCTTCACCTTAAAATTTTTCATTACTCCTTTTCCTTCATAGTAACCAATTACATCATTGTGACCTGTGAGTATTTGCTTTATACCAGGGACGTAGCATAGGAAAGAACCTCACTTGAAGCCTTCTTTTCTTCCAGGTAAGGAGATAAAATTAAGAATGACTTCACATGCTTATTCCTCAAGTCCATGGAGTTGCACAAGGGCCCCTAATTCCCATCCTGCTAACTCCCCAGACTGTTCATTTCCCACTGCACTTTTGCCCCAGGCCCTCTTCTGGTGGGCTTAGAAAACACTTAGCATCCATTGTCCAAAACCCACTTGCAATCCCTTGGAAACCCTGTCCTTACGAAGGGAAAGGATTTGATCAGAAGAAAGTTGGACCTCAAGCTTAGTGGACAATTAAACAATCCTGTGCTCTCAGCCTCCTAATCACTGTGACAACGTAAGTTCATTGTTTACTCTGAAGAAGATAGAACTGAGCAGCTGTCATGGAGGACCACTTTCCCAAAAGGAAATTCTTCAGAATAAGAAAAGAAACTGGGAAGTATAATACTTCTTCCTCTAGGAAAGTCACAATTTATATCAGCTTATGAAAATCTTCAAGAAGTTGTGCCCTAAAGAAACAAGTTTGTCTTTTATTAATCCTTCTGAAAAGTAAACTATTTTAAATTATTTCTCTTTATATACACTCACAGTTTCTCTCTCTCTCTCTCTCTCTCTCTCTCTCTCTCTCTCTCTCACACACACACACACACACACACACACACACACACACACTTCTGGATCTAGTTCATTTCTGAGTTTGAGAAAGTACCCAATAAACAAACTTGAGCTCAGCTATGAACCAGATCTCTGAAATATGCCCCCTGTAAACTGAGACAGATTGTTCTTTGTCCTGCTGGATTTATTAACTAGAAAGCTAGAACTGGACAGAAGGAATAACTTTCCTTCATTGAGAGAAGTGATTCAGGAACTCGGTCATCCTAGAAAAGTGAAAGAATCCCATTTCTTAGGATTGTTTGTACCCAGAATATAGAAACAGAGAGGAAGACAAGATGACCTGCAAAGACTCTATTCTGCCCAGAGAACTTCCAGGAGAATCCTGATGCATTGAACTATTGCCTTTTCCCACTAGAATTCTGGCTGTTCTAGTCCCACTTTTTAGTTTTTGGTACAGTGTTTTGGGCGAAAAAAATCCCATCTCAGCAGTTCGAAGGAATGGAATCCTTAAAAATGGGTTTTTCCAGGATCTGAGAGCAGCTGGAAGCAGATGACTTGCACCTGGACCTAGGAAGAGGCTCCCAGCAGCTGGCAGAGCAGGGACTCTGCACAACCTCTCTGTCCTGGGACGGCCTCTGCACAGCTGGCCTGGCTCGGCCCCAGGTCTGGGCAACCTGCCAGATGAGCTCTTTTTTTTGCTTCAGAACTTATGCCCAGGCCCATCCATCTGTCTGATGGGCACATCTATGTTCAGAAATTCTTCCGAATTATCACAGTTACATATCCAGAGAACAGTATTTTTCAAAAGCAGTTTTACCTTGTTTTGCAATGGATAAGAGTATTTGAGAGAAATTTTAATTAACTTTACAAGGATTTCTTACCAAATATGTAATATAAAATTTTCATTAGCCATAATAAACAACCTGTAAATTATAAAAGATAGAAAAAATAATTTGTGTTGTTATAGATGGCTAAAGCCAAGATTTCCCTCTTTGGCAGGAGACCGATATTCAATAAAATTAAGTGTTACGTGACTAACGTTAGGTGTTTCTTACTCCACTCCACTGTTTTTGCTAAGTTCTATGGAAAAGGAGGGAAAGCTTCCTCAGAAGGACAAACTGACCATTTGACAAGGCACCAAACTGCTGGATTAAATACTTAATAAAGAGCTAACTCATGTTAGCTCAGTTATTGTAAGAGTTTTTATTTTTAGACAAAGGAAAAATCAAAACAAATCTCATAAAACCTTCTGAAATCCTGAACTATATCTACTACAGAAAGGATCAATGGTTATGCTTTCATGAAACATGTGGAAAACATAATCAAAGAAGCTCGTGCCATCAAAGATATGGAAGCATTTAACATTTCCCAAGGCTGGAAGGAGGGAAGATCAGAGGGGGAAGCATTTCTTTTTTTAATAAATCACTAATAGCAATGTCCTTTTTATTAATAAATTATATATAGAAATTGCTTATGAAATGACTTCTTTAATGATAGATATATAGCACACTGGGTAAGTTAAAAATATTATATTTCAAGAGTCCTCAAAAATAACTGGTGTTGATCGAACTTTTTCTTTGATTCCTTTATTCCTTTGCATTTAGAGCAGCTATCCTCATTTTGCAGCCAGGTAAACTGAGGCTTGAACATGTGTTCAGAACTACGGAGCCATTCAAAGCCAAAGTCTGGTTCCGAAGCCTGTTTCTCTAATTATGGACTTCTCAGTGTTGAAAAAATGATGAGATCTTTGTCAGGATAAAATATTCCTTGTGCCATACCATTTCACACTTTCAAAGGCACTCAGCTTCTTTGGCCTCCAAGAACTAAATACTAATGTCAGCCTCCCATCACTATGAAAAAGAAAACTCCTTCACAGATTTCCAGGCTGCCCATAGAGATGACACTCTCCGTATCCAAAACACATCAACTATAACTGTCAAAAATATGAACTGCAGAAATTAGGATTACAGTTAATTTCAAGCATTCTATTAGTTTACCTTTATATTTAATGTGTATAGGAAAGAATAATAATGGAGAGAACAAGGGAGTGTTTAGTTGAATTTTATTACTTGTTGTATACATTTAGCATTTACTAAGAACTGAAATTTTTATTGGATATTTTCTTCTACATGAAAAGGAATGTAGTTGCAGGGGACATAGGTATTTGAGAAAGAGCAAAAAAGGGAAAAGAATTATTGTTTTCCTTATACTTAAGAAAATAATTATGGAACTTATTTTGCTAAACAAAAACTTGTCATAATCTTTCCATTTCAGCTAGTATCTAGATATTCAATACAGTTGTCTTATTGGTGAGTGGAAATGAAATCTGGGAACATGGTAAAACAATATCCATATATTTAGAACCATATAGTTAGGAAGAAGAGAATGGACATGTGAAAATCCATCATATTTAGCACACTAGAGGAATGCCTTAATAAATATTGTGATAAATATTTGTAAATAGATAATGCAGAGAAAGAAGCAGAATAAAAACCAGTAAAGAGAGGTAGAGATATCTGCAACAGCACAACATCAAAGAAGAAAGCCTGTCAGAAGCTACTGGAGGCAGAGAAGAGCTCATTGTTGCTGAATGCCACCCAACGGTGAAAGTGAGGATGGGGGAATCTTCCAGAGTTTAATCAGATTTCCTGGAACTGAAAGCCAGTAAAAGGAAGACATCTCTGGGGTATAACAGATTTTAAAATACAGCTTTTAAAATTTCTTAGGAAAGTAGCTATTACTTTAAAAAGCAAAACTTCAGACTATCTTAAACAAAAAACAATGTTCAAGAAGTTAAGGTAAAAAAGTTGCTTACAAGTAGTTATGCATATTTGAAAGTCAGCTTCTGGGGAATTTTCCAGAGAATTAGAATTTTCTAATTGTGAAATTAGACTAACTTGGCCCAGACAGGACACCAAACACCTTCCCTGACACATATGTGAGATGATTTTCCAAAGAGAGAAGAATTTCCATCTCATCTCTCCTCCGGGGCAGCAGTGCAAGTCGAGCTATCCAGGAGGAAGACTTTCTCAAATGTACATCGTTCAGTGTACCTTCCCTCACCAGGAAAAGATCCCGTGATGCTCTGGAAGGATCCAGGCAGCTCTCTGAATGGAAGTGCCTCCTACTTGTGAGTTCAGCAGGTGTTTTGTTCTTCAGTGTCCTGACCCAGAACAAAGGATGTGGCTGGGGTTGGAGGTGGGGCCTGTGCAGATGCCTGTGTAGATGTGTGTGTGTTCTCATTTCCGCTTCCTCTTTCAAGCTGGCAACAGCAGTTGAATGAGAACAGAAACAAAGGCACAATTCACACCATGAGATTGTCTTACTGTCCTTGCCCCTGTCCCCAGATTTGGGAAGGGCTGTGCTCAGCCGTGAGAACTGCTTTACCTCAAACTCGGCCCTCTTCCAGCAGACAGGTAAGTTATAGCTCTTGCCTCAGTTTTAATGCTGTTCTTGCCTAGGGCTATACTATGAGATAGAAGGAAACAGGTCAGAGAAAATTCAAGAGAAGAGAAAAGTTGGGAAAGCGCTTCATACCTTTCTGACTTAACCTTACTAACATCATCGCTGTGCCTATCGGAACAAGAAGATCCTATCATTTTTATTTTCTATGTTACCAGAGAAGCCGTCATTATAGGGTCACAAAATATAGTCTTCTTTGATGACATGAATTAATATTTAGGAATTTTTCACTTTTGTTACCTGAGAAGTTCCTCTCTGTATCTTGTGACACTTGCATTTGTAGTCCTTTGAATCTAAATCAAACTTTAGAAAGTTACAAAGGGGAAAGTTTCTGAGTTTCATTCCAGGTCTTATTTTAGCGGCCACAGGTCTGAGAACTGAGCATGCAGGGCCTGACCCAGCCTTGCTATCTGTGAGTGGGACCTTTTTTCTCATAGGCTACAGGAGAGAGTTTTGTGGAGCTAAACTACACCTTGATATGTGATGGTTACTTATGCAGGAAGATACAGCAGGTCAAGTTAAGGAAGGGATTAAAAATAGTCAACATCCATATGGATTGGTTTCCAGACTATCTCACAGAGGGATACGTTGACCTCTCAGTGATCCTAATACTTGAGGTGGTCCTCTAACACTGCTTGTCTCAAGGGTAGGCAGACTGAGCATGTCACCACCTACATGATGCTTGGGGAGGTAGAGGAGTGGAAAGATCATCCCCACTGGGGTTTTCCCGCAACCATATTGTGCCACTGAGCTCACTATTGGGGTAAGGGAAATGATCCTAAAGACAGAGAACAGTGAAGATCGGAGCATTCCCACAGAAGTGGTTTGATAAAAGGAGAGTTTAGAAGGCACATCAGGGAAAGTACTGGTGACTCTGTCCACCACACATATCCATGAATAGAGAGGCAAGGGAACTTTCTAAACAGTTCAGGGCAGTGCCTCATAGAGGTTAGAGGTCGGGGATTTGAAACTTACATGTCAACGTTCAAACTCAGCGGTTATTTAGTTTAAGTGGTTAGACCCACAGCTCTGGTCTCTCCCGGAACCTGAAGCATTACTGGGAACAAAGGAAGCTGGGTCCACAGTGTAACTGTACTGAGAACATTATCAAAGATAACAAGATGAAGATATAGCAGAGGAGACAGAAAGCATCTAAAACATGCTTTCTTCTTCGTAGATATCCCAGGCACTTTGTAGACTATTTCAACCATACTAATCATGCATTCTCGTAACTCTTTTGGCCCTCTGAAAATTAAGATGTAGTCCTGAGATTAAGCATTCCGGTGACCATAGTCAGTCATTTTCAGTTCAAGTTTTGTGGTTCAGATGTTAATAGATAATGGAGAAGAAATTTGGTCTTAGCCCATATCAGTACTAACAAACTTCATTCTGGGCTGCAATAAAAGGAAAACATCAAACATTTATTTCCACTTGCAAAGTGACAGCTGTTCTATTTTCCACCTAAGGGACCAGATCAAAGTGACTAACCCAATACTCATAGCACTCTGTACCTTACACAAACCCAAACCCAGTGCAGAATGGCTGCAACATAGATTCAAGTTGAAGATAAAGTTCAGTCAAATGAGGTGAGGGAGACCAGAAGAGTGTGTGCAGCTACTGAGAAAAAAAAATGAGTGTCCAAGAGAAAAAGTTTCATTGTCAAGAAAATAGATCTAAAGAATTAACAAATAATTCAAAGAGCTAATTCAATGGCCAAGAAATATGCTCATTCTTCCTACCATTTCTAGACAAAACCATCTGTAAATTAGTCCAGATGAATGACCATTTCTTATTCTTTATGCCTCATTGCCTATCCAGATGAAAAATAAAAATAAAACAAATTTGACTTCTTTCACTGAAAGCATAGAATTAGTTTTTTCCAAATGCATGACTTTAATATTTCCTATATCAATTTACATCCTTCCATAAAACTCACCCACATCCTGAATATGGATATAAGGAAGGAAGTAAAGGATAGCAAAAGACATGTTCTTTTAGTATTTATTCACTAAATTTATTTTTAAGAAGAAAGGTATGAAAAAAGAGAGGGAAAACTGTTGTTGTTAAATGGAATTTTTCTTCCTACTATATATCAAGTAACATCTTCCTTTTTCCCTGAAAAAGTCTGAGGAGCTCTCTTTGACCACAAGGTCTCAGAATGCTCAAATGCTCTATGCATTTTTATGCATATTTGTCAGTTAGTATTGATATGGGTAAGTTTTGTTTTTATGATTTCCAAATTGCAGTAACATTGAATAGGAAACCAGGAAGATATTTCTCATATGTGAAGGGATATGTGAATCTATTGCACACTGGAGATAGGTGGAATGGGGCTCAGTTGACTTGAGGTAGAGTTTGTGCTGTCCACAAACAGAGACCTATTAGCTGTTCTGGGATTCCCCGCAGCTCTTTGCAATGCAGGGATGGGTGTTCCAGTGTAAATGTGGAAGGCCTATGGAAAGGCCATCATGGAAACTCTATTTCTTTTTTCTCTCTTCATGTGCTTGTTTTAATCTCTGTCCCAATTCACAGATTCTGCCTGAGGCATAGACATAGCAACATAGGAGAGGAGAGGCCTGTCTGATCTACATCTCTGGGAGGAGGGCCAGAAAATTGAAGATTCAGCCTTAGAACCAAGAGAGTAAGTAGCAAAAGAACATCTGCGTTATATAAAGGAAGAAAGTACATGTGTGGGAATTCAAATTTATGAGTTGAGTCCCACTCACAACCTCTAACACTTTATATGACTCCAGGTAAGTCAGTCTCTCTCTCTCTCTGTCTCTCTCTCTGTCTCTCTCTCTGTCTCTGTCTCTCTGTTTCTCTCTCTCTTTTCTTCTCTCTCTCTCTTTCTTCTTCTTCTTCTTCTTCTTCTTCTTCTTCTTCTTCTTCTTCTTCTTCTTCTTCTTCTTTTTCTTCTTCTTCTTCTTCTTCTTTTTCTTCTTCTTCTCTTCCCCTCTAGTTTTCTCTATTGCAGGGTAAGAAACTAGGATTAGATTATTTCTTTTATCCTGTTGGGTGTTATATAAGGATGAGAAATTTTCCCTGCTTCTTGGTCATCTCTACCTAACAGCAACACTCATCTTTAACCATCTAGATTTTTCGCACTCTGCTATATTCTGCTGCTCACTCTTCCTTCTTCCTTATTCATAAAATGTTCCTATTTTTAGGCTGAAGACAGATTAATAATATCCATTGCTATCATTTATTACATATTATAGTACTTTATTTTAACCTCCAGTGACGTAAAAAGTTTGGCACATCATCTCTTTACGTATCTTTTTTTAAAAATTGTGAATAGAAGGAACACATATTTTACCAAAGACATGCGTGTGTTAGCAGACAGAATTGTGATTCCAAACAAGGCTTACTCTGATTTCAAGTTTCAAAGTATGCGTACCATTTTTGGTTTCTAAATAACACTCTGGACTTTAGAATAAAACAAATATTGACCCCCTTACTGCGATCCTTAAAAATATCTCCATGTTGAAGTTCCTATAGGCAGACCTGGCATTTTCCAGGAACAGATTGGTAGGCCCATGATTGTTGTTGAACTATCAGAATATGGCTACAGTAAATTGCAGTAAATGTTTATTGCTCCGAGCCTTTTCAGTGTTCGTCACCAGCCCAACTATTCCAGACAGTCCCACTAATTCCCCCATTGTAATCCCAAAAACTCACTGCATGCCAGCCAGACCCTTAAAGGCTGACATGGGGTCTGTGGCAACCGTTAGTTCTTATTGTTCAGTACCACCCTAAAACCACTTTAAATGCTCTGAATGCCTCATAATCTGAAAGCGATGTGAAATTCTGGGCAGATATTCTTTCTTCAGGTAGAAGCTAACTTTCTGAACTCAGGTGACAAAAGTATTTGCCAGTATTAAAGTTCTTTACAGAAGAGTTTATGGGCAAGTAATAGGTAACCTGCACCTATCAGTGACTATATATCCCGATTGCTTAGACATACCCAGGTCAACATATAGTAAAATTCCAACTTCAACCCTAAGAAATCAGAGACTGGAAATAAGTGATGTTCCCAGCAGTAATGATATATCCTTATAGGTTTTCTGCAGGAGAAAAAATAATCACTAGAAGAACAGATCACTGCTCTCTCGCGCTCTCTCTCTTTCTCTCTCTCTCTCTCTCTCTCTCTCCTTCCCTTCTTCTCTTCCTCTCCAGTGTTCTCTATTGCAGGGTAAGAACAGATAACTGTTCTAGTGATAATTTTTGTTGGAAGATAATCATTGCACAACAAATCCCTAATCTTAAGCCATTGTAAATGATTTCTCTGGTCTAATCTCTGTCATGACTGCTACAATTTCTGTTTTTACTGTAAATATGCTGTTTTATATCAATATGCTGAGAACAAGGAGAGCTACCTCCACTGAAAAGTACTGTGCTGGGCCTGAAAGAGGATTTAGAGGAGAGTCATAGGAGTGGTATGTAAGGATGAGAGTACCACTCACACTGTCTTGTTGAAAATGGCACAAGTGTGTGTACTAGTTAGTAGAGTTTAGTTACAAAAAGATAACTTGAGATGAATTTTAAAAGGTAAATAGTATTTGTTTGTGTACAGAAAGAAGCAGATAAAACTGTAAACTAAAGCCAAAAAGCAGAAAACACAGAAATTCTGATAATCAATGAGGAATATTGATGGAATCACATTCATTTGGGTTCTATCCTGGCTTCTCTCATTCAGGCTTACCACTTTCTTGGATCTGAGAAAGCTGTGAGTCCAAGAACCTCACAACTCAGAGTGAATTTGAAAGATAATTTGCTAGATAACATAACTCCAGGGATTACTGGACCATTTCCTACTTTTATGAGAAAATTTATAAATATGTTTTCTTTTGAGGATTCTATTGCCATTAATATTTCACTCATCTAGAACTTATGAAAATAAATTCATAAACATTAGCCCTGGAGGAAAATTTATACAACATTGGTTCTTATCAAATCATTCTCTAGATAACAAAACTGACTGATATCCAAGTGGGAAACCCAGTTGGTTTGTCAGAAGTCAACAATTCACACAAAAATGATGGAAAATTACCCATCTGCCTTTATTCCCAGGAAATACATTTTTCACTGTATTGAAGAGATATGCTTTTTTGTTAACTATTTGAAGACAATATCTCCATGTCTTTCTCTCTATCACAAGTGGCCCCAGGATATCCAAAATTGCTATCCTGAAAGCTACATGTGCCCAGCTTTCAATTTTCTCTAACACATTCACTGTTGATGTGTTTACCTGATAACCAGTTGCCACTTCCTCCAATTTCTTATCTCCCAGCAGTACAGCTTCCTCTTGTACCTTGAACCAGGCATTCTGTTTCTCCCTGCTTCCTAATATTGCTATTTTTACAGTAATTCCATGTAACACACCTTGGAGAGTGTGGCAGAGATTGTGGAAAACTAATTTATTCAATTCCCCAGCTTAAGAACAGTGCTTCAAAGTTATGAAAACCTTGCATCTTTTTTCTCAGACTTGAGATCATTGCTACTGTTTCAAGGAAAAAATTATCCCACCTCACCTGAATTGCTTAGAAAAGGATGACTTTTCACAGTAAGCAGTACAGCATTTAGTTTATCTAGTATTTTAGTTGTCATAACTATAATGACCATTCATTTGTGAATTTTTGTTGGAAATTCTTTAAGCAATATGGACTCTGTTTCCGTAAGCGTTTTTTAGGTTTTGTTTTTGGTTTTTTTGTTTGTTTGTTTGTTTTTGTCTTTTTCCTTTTTAACAGTACCGGGGATCGAACTCATGACTGCCTGCTTGCAAGGCAGATGCTTATGCCGCTGGGCTAAATCCCCAGCCCCTGGTGGTGGTGTTGTTGTTGTTGTTGTTGTTGTTTTAACAAACTTCTGTACATAGGACATAGAAACACATGGCAAATAGGAATCACCAGGCAAATACAACTTCTGTTTTCAACAATGGGAATTCACAGGGTAGAAAAAGTCAGAGAGTAACCTTCTGTCCTTTCACCAACTTTAAGTCCAAAACATTTTTTTTTTTTTTTTGTACCAGGGATTGAACTCGCAACCTTGCACTTGCCTGGTAAGTGCTTGAGCCACTGAGCTAAATCCACAGCAAAACATTTTCACATGCTTAGTAAACATGATAAATTTTATGATTACAATTGTGAAGCTGATCTCCCGCATGTGTCTACGATGACTGTACAGTTCTGGGTTCTCATGGGAAATAGTCAGCTACAAAATATGTCTTCAGTTAGACAATGAGTGTTTGTTGAGCAACTACTATGTGTTAAATTCCAACTTAGGCATTAGAAACTTAGTGGTGAATGAGCCAGACAAGCATCTCTATACTGTTGGAGTTTATATTCTAACCAGAAGACTAAATAATAAATTAGATAAATAAGTTTTAAAAAAGAATGCTAGTGGTAAACAATAAAATAGATAAGTAAATAAAATATATAGAATGGTATATGTAGTAACCAGGCAGAAAAAGTGCCACGGAGAAGGCACTCAGTGGCAGCAGTTAAGGAGGCCACAGAAACCAGGCCTGGCTTCACGGAGAAGCTGGTTAAGAGATGGGGCTTTTCGGGTGAAGGACAACAAGGGCCAAAAGAAAGAAGGAGCAAAGGGAAAATATGAAAAGAAAATGGTGACTGAAAGGAGCAAGGAAATTAGCCTCTATAACCCTGAAATATTTTCAGAGATGAAAAGGGGTTGTAAAATAGATTCGTATTGCAATCAGTGTTGAAGTTCTTCATCTTCTCAGTCAGTGACATTCTAGTCTGTGCTAAGAATTATTGGGATTTCACTCTAAAATGTAGTTTATAGTACTGGAATAGTGAACATCAGAGCTGTGGTGTCCTCACCAAAAAACTGAGACAAGAGAAAAAAATTAATTTTCTAGGGTATACCATTAGGGAGTAGAACAATGTATGCCATTTATCCCCATCTCTCTCTCCTTTCTTCTCCTCTCCTTTCTTCCTCCTTTCTTTCCTTCCCTTTGCTTGTCATGCTTCCTTCCTGACCTCATGCCTTCCTTTTAAATTCCCCTAACTACCAAAAGTCTTCTGGAGATTTGGATTCAGTTCATTTCCTTTGGAAATTAAAAAACAGCAGACAAGGCAACCTTTGACATCTTCTTCTCTAGGGCCAAGAGGGGCCAACTTAAATACTTTAAAAACAGGGCTAGAAAAACACACTTTGATTTAGGCTTTTCAGTCTTTCTTCATGAATCCTTTCTGTTAGCAGCTCCAACCTCTCTGCATCATTTAAGAAAAAACCTATCATCCTTGTTACTCCTCTTGATAGCTTCCTTATAACACAAGTTTAATTCAATGTCCCTTAAAAGGCACAGAATGCAGTTACCTGTGGTGAACATAAAGTCTCATTGTGCTAACTGCCGTCTCACCTGGGAGAAAAGAAGTCTTGGACTGGACCTGAAGTGAAAGAATCTGTATCAGGCAGCAGTAGTTATGTGTTATTTGTCCCTGGATATGCTCTGCCTGTGGCAAGCAGAGGCATCTAAAGCAATTTTATTGCCCTAGAAAAACATTTTAAATCCACAATGTTCTTTTCAAAAATAGCTATTTTAGTGCCTTAATTACTGAATGTATCACTAATGATTTTGTTAAGTCTTGGAAAAGCAGAGGTCTCTCGAAACTGAGACTCTTCTAATTTTTTTCTTTTATTTTCCTAACTCTAACAATTAAAGTATTTCTCTGAAGAAGTCATTTATGGCTGCTCAAGGAAATAGAGGCTGTTATGGTTTAAATAAGAAGTGTTTCCCAAAGTCTTAAGTATTAAGGGCTCGATTTCCAATGCACAATGTTCAGAAGTGAGGACTAGAGAGATGATTCTAGATCACAAGGGTGTTAACATCATCAGTGGATTAGGCCATTGATGAGTTCATAGCTGGGCTATTAGGAGGTAGAGCCCAGTCACAGGAAGTAGATCCCCAGGTACGCATCTTCCAAAGGTAAATCTGTGCTCCCCCCCCCCAACTTGCTCTCTGGCTGTCTTCCTGCACTGTCTGTTTCCCAGCTGCTATGAGATGAACTGCTTCCCTCCACCTTCCCTTCCACCGTGTTTCTGCCATAGCACATGCCTAAAAGCAATGGAACCACTGACCACAGACAGAAAACTCTGAAATTGTGAGCCAAAATTAACTTTTCCTCAACAACAACAGCAACAAAAAGTTGACTAACACAAAGGGAAAAATGATGAAAGTCCTGGTCCCACATTTACTTATTCACTGTTGTGGGATATGAGTGTGGTCAAAAGAAGAGGCAGCAGGAGAGAGAACTCATCCCCTCCAGTCTTTCTAAGCTCCATCTGGACAACTGAATGAGTGTTCCCCTCTCTCTTCCTTTTTGAATCTGGGCATAGAGCCATTGTTACGTATTTTTAAAAATATAGAGAGATGTTGATTAGGTGGGGTCAAATAAAATATAAGTATATAGATCAATAACTGCATTGTTAAACAGGATAAGAATCTCAAAATCATGTAGATGTGCAAGTTCACAGATTAGAAAGTGATCATCCTAATGTGCTGTCTGCTCATTGCTTCAAGGCAATCTCCCCTTGTTTCTTACATAGACTCTCTTTTTTTTCCCTGAAAAAAAATCACATGGACTCATAATATATCAAACAGGAAACAAAACAAATTGAGACAAAAAGTGAACTTAGTAAGTTGTAAATTACCAGATATTTTAGTTTTGATGCAAGACTCTGAGAATCAGAATCCTTAAGTGTCAAAGAAAAAAATTTGGAAACAAGGTTTTATTTATTTACTTATCTTTTAGTTTAGCTTATTAGTGCATGTGTAGTACATAGTGATTGCATTCCTTGTAAGAATTTGGTACATTCACATAACATATCTTAATTCCTTTTTTAATCCCCTTTCTCTACCCTTTCTTTCCCCTCCACCACTTCATCTACCATAAGAAGTAAAGATACTTCTGGTCTTAATCCCAACCCTAACTCACAAAACCTTTCTCAGTGTCACTCAAATCCTATGAAATCTGAAGTTTTCAAACTTACCAGTTGAACATATTTATTCTAGCATTTAGATATTTTCATAGCACTTACTTTTAGGGGAAGGGGATAGAAGATGACATCTCCTCCCTCCTGACTAGGTGGAGAAATCAGATAACTTTTAGCAGAAGGGGAAAAATTGAAGCAACCTTGACAGCAGTGGTTTCTGAACAGAAGCCAAAGAAGGATCGCTTCTGCTTCAACTTTCAGGACTGCATTAAGGTGGTGAGAGGCCCTGAAGTGTGAGCCAGGACCATGGAGGCCTCCGTGCTGAGCCCTACATCCTGGGAGAAGCGGAGAGCATGGCTCCGTCAGAGCCGGAACTGGCAAACCCAGGTGTTGGAAGAGGAAGCTGCAGCTGCCCTGCAGGATGTCCCAGACCCTGAGCCTTCCAACCTCGATGATGTTTTCCATGAAGGTAAGAAGCTTCAGACATCACACAGACCTCCCCCAAGGAGAATGGGATAGCAAGCACAGGTCTGCAGAGGATGAGCTGCAGCCCTTTGATTGGACTGAGATCTCAGGAAGTTTCATGTTTTCTGACTTAAATGGAAGTAAAAGAAGAGGCATAAAGCAACACAAACGTGAATTGTGTAAGAAGTAAGTGTAAGATTAGGGAAAAAAAGGACATTTTTGCATCATCCAAAGAAGCTTCTATAATAAACTGAGGCTAAGGGTTTTCTGCATGTGAATGTTTTGGAAGGCTTCTATTTTGTTTACGTAGCAACACTACTCCCAGGTTGCCCCTGGACTCTGGACATTGCACTCTCACTAACAAGCTCTGTGATTTTTGGAAAGTCATTTGCTAAAACAGTGCTTGCCCAACAGAAGCAGTAGGCACTTTCCTACATGCTTCTCAGAGACTTGCATGAGACCACAGACATGGGAATAAGACACGAATTCGGATAGAAATAAACCCATCCTTTCTTATTTGGTAAAACACAAAAGGCACACAGTTGTACTTTTGCTGTACTGTGTTTTGTTTTGCTTTGCTTTTAGAAAAGGTGACATCCTTGTACCCAAAACTTGACAAAGCAGTGGGCCTGACATCTTGGACATTTTTTAGATTCCCAAGGAGAAGGGAAACAGAAGATAGATCCACTTTCTTTATATATTGTTTTACTCACATCTTACAGAAAAGATTTGGAGAGAGATCATAATGTGACTTACACAAGGATAAAGTTGTGGAATGGGGTAAGGGGAGAGTGGCAGGGCAGAGGTCTGGTTTCCTTCCATTCTCATAAAGATCTGGTATCTGATTTCTCTAGGGAATCCAATCAACAAGATTGAAAACTGGCTGCAGGACTGTGGGTGAGTTTGAGCAAACCATGGGGCTAGAAAGGGTTGATGGTTGGATGAAAACAGGTAGAACCTTTGGGAATTCAGAGGTAGGAAAATGGATTTGAACTAGACCTAAGGAAACAAGGTTGAAATGGTAACTGGAAAGGGAATTGAGGAGACTGGGGTCAGCTGGTGACCCAGGCTGTGACTATCCCACTCTGGGCAGGGACTAGGTTCAGCCACAGATCTGAGAATACAGAGTGGAGTGGGTAGGCTGTTTCAAAACCCTACTGTATAGCCTTCCCCTTCCAACTGATGTCTTACATTGTATGACAAAAGAGAGGTGAAGAGGCTCCAAGATTTGAGCATATTCTTCTGTTACTACCTGTGTGGTCACACATAAGCAAATAACTGAAATTATTTCCATGGAAGACTCCGTACCTATAAAATAAGAAACTAGAATAATAGTGTCAAAGTTTTTTGTGAGGTTTAAATGTGATGATACATGTTTGTTTCTTGCTCAATAGTGGTGCGTGAGTAGTACCATTTAAAAGGAGCTTTTTAAACTTCTGATAATTTTACAAAGTAAATCCTTCTATCCAGTGAATTAACTGTCTTTCTATCTACATCTCTTTCTTTACTAGAAAAAATATATCCAGAAATGAAACACAACAGCTTTTTGGTTAGTGGCTACTACTAGGAAGGAAATGGGTAGAAAGAGTGGTAGTCACCTGTAGATATATCTTTATCTTATTTATTTTTATTGTTTCTTATTCTTTTACTTATATTTTATTTCTTTCTGAAGCAAATATGACAAAATGTTTACATGTATAAAAATAGGATGGCAGGTACAAAGGTACTGTCACTATTCCTTACTCTGTGTTTTGAAAATCTTTAATATTTAAACTTCAAAAAGTTGATAAGAAAATGTATTAACATACTTACATTCATCTCTGGGAAGGCAACTGTTAGATTTAGAAAATTTTTCTTGTGTTCTAATTCTTTCTAATAATTATGCAGTATATACACATCTGCAGTCAATGACAAACTATATTTGCAGTGGTTGTTCCCTAAGGTTACATCAGCTAGTGACATTGCAGCTCTGTTAGTTTGTGTAAGTGCACTCTGAGTAAGCAGTGATATCATCCAATGACATATTTCTCAGAATGTATCTCAGACAGTAGGCAGCATATGCTGGACTTTTTAATTATGTGAGTAAATCAAAAATTTGAAGGATTCTGATAATGATTGGTGATAATGAGAGAACACTTGACTTCTGATAAAAGATAATGAAGAGGATAAAGGAAAAGCACAGCATAATTATGATATTCTGAGTTACCACAGTCTTTGATTCTTGGTCTGTCAGAACCGTAGAGGGAAAAGGATGGATAAGAAATTCCACAGTCACTGCTTATCTGGTCACAATATCACCAGTGCCTTGGGAGGCATTTTTCAGTTTCGGTTTCAAGACCATCAAGTTTCCATTTTCTTTCCAAAGCCAAATACCCGGTATAACAAGAGAGTTTTCATTCCTAACAAGCTGTCCAAGAAAGTCCCCTACCCTTCTCAGTAACTGAGTGTTAATGTCTCTTGGTGCCAATGAATCCAGTGGCAATCCATTCTTTACATCTTTACAAACTGTTCCTCTCCTTTTTTCTTTCTTTTCTTAAGCTTTCTGGGATATGAACATATTGCTAAGAAATCATCATAAAGTTCAGAGCCCAAATATTGCCTAAGTGGCCTTCAACTTAAATTGTGCAGACAGGCATATATAGAAATTGTTGGAAGCCACATGCCTTTTCTTGCAACACAATTCCTCTATCCAACTAAATTGGATATACAAGAGGAGCAATACTTTACCTCTTTTATTTCAGACTTGCAATTGCACTAAAGAATCTTTCAATGGCAGGACAAAAAAGGAGGAAGCTGTAAATATAGTCCCTGGGCATTGATCTTATACCCTGCATAACAACCCTTAAGGTTCATAGGGCTTGGGTGGCAGCCATGAAGTTTCAAACCTTCGTGCTCAGTGAGATGACATCAACAGATCCAGCCTATGTCATACTGCTAGGATAAAGCCTACATAAGAACAGGAAACTGCCCTCAAAAAGGGAATTAGAAACTTCTTGCCAGAGTACAATCTGAGAAGAGAACTAACTGTAAGATGAGCACTTAACAAAAGCATGTCTGATGAATAGCAATGAGATCTTCTTTATTGCATGCATATCAATAGCATTTTTATTTTTAACATAAATTATATTGCAGTATATTACACTTACTAAAAAAGCAAATCAAAACCTTGATGTATGTTTTTCAAAGAAATGTGAAGGAGAGCATTATTAGCACTGCAAAAGTTCCTTTCTGTCCTCTTTCATTCGCTACCCTGCCCCCCAGAGTAACCACTAATTTGACTTATAACATCACAAATAATTTTATGGGTCATTATTTGAAACTTACATAAAACAGAATCATAAAATATTACTGTTTTATCTTTCATTTGTTTAGTATCATATTTGTAATGTTCATCTATGTATTTGCATGCAGCACTAGGTCATTCAATTATATTGCAATGTAGTATTAAATTGTGTAACTATCATCCAATTTTTCCATTTTACAATAAACAGAGATTCTTGGAATTCTTTTCTGGGTTATTATGACTAGAATTTCTTTTGATGAATAAATACAGGCATTTCCATTGAGTACAACTTAGAAGTGAAGTAGTAGTCTGCTTTAATTGTAGTTTCTGGTAATAGTTGGCCTTAACATTTGCATCCCGCATATGAAGATCCAATTACGAAGCTGTTCAAACACTGACGTGACACCATAGACAGAAAAGTCACAGTTTATCTTATGTGATGAGCCACAGTCAAAATACAGACACACTGAAAATATTCTGTGAAACTATCTTTAAGTTATTCATTTGGAGGGTACTGTATACGATATGCAAGTGAATTTTATGTTGACTTGTGTCTCTTCCCCAAGATAACTCATTATGTGTATGCAAATATTTGTAAATCCAAAAGAAATCTAATACATGAAGTACATCTGATCTCAAGCTTTTTGGATAATGGATGCTCAACTTGTCCCAAGTAGTAACACAAATGTTAAGTACAACAGTAAATACAGTGTTGTAGTACTAGATGATCATATTAATTATCATAGTAGTAGATATTAGATACCATAGTAATTCTTATATATTTTAAACATGTTTTAATATTTAAAACATGTTTTTATTATATTATAATATTATATTATAACATATATTTGTATAATTATATATTAAGAAAAGAAGTATATTTTCTCCTTTAATTATATTATTAATAATTCATTCTTAATTAGCTTGAATATTTCACATTTTATAATGTACCCTGATGTACAGTTTTTTTCTAAAGACATTAAAAATTCAAATTTTGCAAATACTGGAATTTTTTTAAATATTGAAGGTACTAACAAAAGTTGTCTATTATTTATTTTGTAAGATTTAAGCAATACTTGATTGATAGATCTTCGTTAATAAGCCCATTCCCATTGTTAGATATCCTATGAAGTGATACACCAAGAACTTGAAAGTTATTGGAACTGCTAAAGGCAGATGAGTGGAAGAAGCAGCACTTAGGATCATCTACAAAGGGTGCACTCAGGCTCTGACTCACTCCACCAACTCTTCTCTGCTCTGCTCCAGCTTCTGACGGAGATTATGTTCTAAGCATCATGCACAGATTCCAATTAAAAACTTATAGAAAAGAAAATTCTACAAAACATAATATTAGTGCTTAAAGTAGACTTACATAATGATACAATCTAGATTAAGTCTTCTTATATGGTATTTTAGAGCTTAGCATCAACAATGACCAGGACTGAAGTCCAAGTGTACTGGTCCCAGCTCAAAGCATTTTTTCATGTTCTTTTATTCACTTGATTTGGACAGAAAGAATTTCTACTTTGTATTTAAAACAGAGTTGTTTCTCACTACCATTTATGCAGATTTCCATTTGTTGTTCTAGTAGAGATGGTAAATGTTTGATAGGCTCATATCTTAAAATATCTGTAACCAGGATACAGTTTCTGTTGCTTCCTAGAACATGTGATATTCAGCAACAACATGATTCTAAGAAAAAGAAGAGTGTAGATAAGTTAATCTCTTAAAAATCTTTTATGTTTATGATTATATTTATGATTTGGAAATTATGACACAAAAGCCCCTTTTCCCATAAGTGAATTTTGCTTCTGTAATGTTCCCTAAAGAGTGACAAATCATTGGAAAATCAACTTTAAATAATGAAGCAAGGGAATGGCAATACCATCAAAAATAAAGCACATTTCAAACCAAGCTACCTCAGAACTACATCAATGAATTTGTCCATCAAGAAACCACTTTGCCTTAGTTTTCTCCAATGTGGAAGCCAATTAGATATTGTTCACTCCCAATGAAAAATAAGTGAACATGTGAGGAATATGTGAGAACAATCTATTGGAAAATGTAGCAATGTCAACTTGTAATATTATTTTTGGATTTCAGAGACTCTGAAGAGGGGTTTTCTGAGGAATCTGGGCAATCCATCTACAATGGTAAATATGGGTGTTGCTCTCCTGTCCAAGTTAGAAGGCAAAGTAGCTGTGTGCATTTGTGTGATTATGTGTGTACATAGGCATGTACACATAAGAAAGCCTGATTTTCTTTAACGTGAATATAAGGGCCTTTTAATTGTCATAAGGCAGTCCATAAGACCCAAAATAAAATGCTGGCTCTAATGCACAAGTTCATTAATACTAAAAAACTATCTACTGTTCAAACAAGCACACAATAGTTTTTGAGTAACTAGCATTAATTTCCTACTATCTTTTTTGAAATTCCATATCATTTCTGTCCTGTTTTACTTTGCTTTTTAAAATAAAATAAAATTAATTAATTTAAAAAACTACTTCTGGTGGTTGCTCAACTAACAGCCACACTTTGGGAAAAGTTCTGCCTAAAATGTGTGCATTTCTAAAGTATTGATGTACAGCTTCTGTGTTTACTGTTTGACTGGAGGTTGTATATATGATTATATGATATAAGACACAGGTTAGATATAGATGACTGTATACATTACTCTCAGTCAAACATGAATGGAATGTGATTCATGCTGTAGTATATGTAGAGTGGAGAATAGTATGGCAAGTATGTGAATGCCTTGTATGATCACGCCAGTCTAAGAACATATGTAGATGTTGAAATATGCAGCTGTTTATTTGTGTGTACATGTGTGCATATTTAGGACTGATTTTTGATGACCTTCTCCTGATTATTTGACAGGATTTTCTAGCCATGGAACCAGTTTTGAAGATGACCTGATGCTTGGAGCTGAGGGTGAGTGGCACAGCTCTGGGGTTGATGTCAAAGAGACTACACAATGGATGAAATTTAAGAATAGTATGGAGGGAACAACTTTAGGAAAAAAATGGCTTCTCTCTGGGGTATATCTGTAGGGGCAGATCACCTTGTTATGATCTCATGCAAAAATAGTATCACACACCTAGAAACATGTTCTACCAGCTAATCATGATGACTCCTGTTGGCCCATTACTGGAATAATCTTTTGGTCCTTGGGGAAAAAATATGTATATATATATATATATATATATATATATATATATATATATATTTAGAATATCATTTGATACCCAGATGTCAGTGAGACCATCTCTATAGAAAACCCACTGAAGCCTTAGTCTTGATTTTAAGAAAGAGACTGCACTGCACAAGGACAGGGGCTTGAATAAAGGATGAAGGCACTGCTACCACTCTGTAACTCTAGGGCTTGTAGAGACTCATGTGGTGGGGCAGAAACAGGAGTCGAGCTGAATGGCTCTCCTACTCCCCAACTGAGGGGCTCTCACCAGCACATTAAATATTAGTCTAGAGTTCAGAGGCTTCAGGTTAAGTGTTCTCTACCTTATTTATCTCTCTACCCAAGCTGTAGGAAGATAATCTTAGACTTCCTGATTGAAAGACAAATTCTTGGGTTTCAGCTGACCTCTCATAGTGGCATAGGGAAACAGAAGGGTTGTGCTAAACTCAAGTGGACCTGCATTTTTCCTTCTAACATGCTCTTTGCCTTTCTGTTCCTTGTACAGCCACACTGCTGGCCGCTAATGACAAACTCTTCTCTAGGTAAGTTTCAGCCAAGCTACATGGTTATCTTCAGACGACAATGAACTTGCATAAGTACCAGAGATTAAAAACAAAGATCTAAAGCCCAGTGTCATGGGGCACTGTAATTCTGGCACTGCCTGTAATACTAGCATTCTGGAAAGTTAAGGCAGAAAGACTACAGGTTCAAGATTAGACTAGGCAGTTTAGGGACTTAGCAAGACCCTCAAAATAAAAAAAGGCTAAGGATGTAGCTCAGAGCACAGGCCCTGGGTTCAGACTCTAGTATCACACACACACACACACACACACACACACACACACACACACACACACACACAAATCACACTAGTGAGATTTTCTAACCAGTAATGAAGACATAGACAGTTTGCTCAACAGGTGGTTGGTTCTTCAGAAGGAGGCCAACTGGCAGCAAGATTTTATGACATCAGCTTCTACCTCTACAGGAGTCTCCTCCAGACATCTAAGCCTCACCAGCTACTTGATCTTGGCTGTAGTTTGGCTTCCAGCTGCATGACTGGTGGAACCAACAAGACTAGTTCAAGGTAGGTACTAAATTTCATATGACTGGGAGAGTAGAGAAGATGACAGCAAAGGAGAATGGAACTGAGTACTATTGCCTATTTTTTCTAAGGTACCTTACTGGAGCTTGCATGTACTTTCTATGCACACTAGAAGTACAAGACAATATTTGCTTCAAGAATAGGCGGGGATACAGATGAATCCTCCCCAAACTAAATACTATGTACAGAATGCAGATATCTCTTCCCACTAAACCATATGTACCAGGAAGTGTAATAATGAGACCAACACAGTCCTAGATTCATAGTTGGTACTCAATAAACAATATATTGATTAATAAACTAATTTTTACTTAATAAAGCAATAAAATTGAATTGATGTAGCCAGACACAAACTATATGGACTTTTAAAAGCTGAATCAGACAAAAGTCTTGCCACTAGGAGCTCAGCAATTTCATAGGATGGGCAAGACTTACACAAAAAACAATCTAAAATAAGGTAGAAAATAATGAAAATTATTAGTGTGTTGTGATGAAAAGTATTGAAAATTTGAAGTACTAATTCTGAGACAAATTTTATCTTGTGCTTATATCAGTGGTTTTTCTTCACTGAGTTGTGTTCCTAGCTGCACCCAGTTCAATGAATGAGAAAATCTAGACTGGATTCAAACATTTGCATTTTTAATAGCCCTACAAGATGTCATAATATGCACCCTTGGTTGTGAACTACTGATCCAGTCTTATGCCCTCAATTCACACATAGGGAAATTTAAGACTCTTGAGATAAAATAAGTATTTAGCTGACAAGTCATGAATTTTAACTGTCTAGCTATTAATTAAACAAGGTATCTGTATTTGAATCAAAAAATGTAGCACCTTTACTGAAGACAGTGACAATGATTATCCAAAGCCTCAAATTATCTATACTTCCCTTAACCCCATTGTTAAACTAGACCACTGGTGTCATTCAGCTTGATGGTACATAAATTTGGGTATAATTACAGGTTGATGCAATAGAAAAACAAATGGACTCTTTGACTTTCTGTGACACGGCATTTTGAGTAAAAATAGTGCTTCAGAGAGGGATGGCTCTCAAAAGTAGCTTTTCAATGTACTTATTGGTTCATTTTTAACCTTATAATGTAAATAAATAAGTCCATGTTTCTTACCCACCCATCACCTCAGTGTCTTAAACAACTACAGAATAGGGTAAACTGAGGGGCAAGTTGCAAAGCATCCAGCCAAAGCTAGATATATCACAGTATGTACAAGTGGTAATAATGCAACCCCAATATTTCTCTGCATTATGCTAGTTTTCAATTTTAAATGTTTTCATATTAACTTAAATTTATTTCCATCTATAATAGATTGTTTAATAATTTATGATAATTTTTTTTAGTTTTTATAACCAAAACCAAATTGTAATTTTTGTGTTTCAGACAGACAATTTAAGTGAAAACTTTTCCCACAGTCACACTGGAAGGTAGAAAACTGGCCAGAAAAAAATTTCAGTATCTTGATACTTTTATTAGATATTCCAGATTACCAAATGTCTCAAAATTGTCATCCTAACTTTTCTAACTCCCCTTTTCAGCATTTCAGAGATTCTGGACCAGGTACAAGAGGATGCAGAAGATGTTCTCTTCAGTCTAGGCTTTGGCCAAGAGGACCACAAAGACACTACTCGGATCCCCGCAAGATTTTTCACCAACCCCTCTCAGGCCAAGGGCATTGATTTCCAGCTCTTCTTAAAGGCACAGGTGCAGAGGATTGAGATGGAGGATCCCTGCCTCATGCTGGCCAGTGAGTATCACCACAGATCCACGCCCCTCCTCTACCTCATTCTCCAATTATTCACACCAAGGTGTGCTGGCTCCCAGTCCTATTTTCCAAGTGGCTCCAAATCCTACTTCTTCTCTTGGTTAGCTTCAGCGGATCCTTTGTGACTTCTATTTCCTCTTATGTTGTTTAGTAAAGATGGAAAAGTTTAGAATCTTCTTTCTCTTTAGGAAATAGTCTTCAAGAGACCTCAATTGCTTCCTTTTGGCCTTCTCTTCTTGACCTGAATCAAATCATGATAATGTCTTTAAATCTTCACCTATTTTCTATTTCCTACTTGGGGCATCTACTAGGGATGGGAAATTGAGAAGCCAAGAAAGAGAATCCTTAGTGTCAGATACCTAAGTGTAAGAAATAGCATTGGGAGAACTGGAAGCTTCCTTCTGAAATTTTGATCTTTGGAAAGGCTTTTGAAGTGAGATATATAAGAGATAATTTGTTGATGAGCTCCCAAAGCACTGTCTTCAAACTTTGTCTCCAGGCAGGTTTAAGCAGGTGCAAACACTGGCTGCTACTGCGGATGCCTTCTTCTGTCTCTACTCCTACGTGTCCAAGACACCGGTTCAAAAGTTCACACCATCCCACATGTTCTGGAATTGCAACCCAACCGATGTGCCTTCCATCAGAATTCTGGCTCCAGAGCCTGAACCACACTCACCTAGGGACCGCCTCCGGAAAGCTATCTCCAAAATGTGTCTGTACACGGGTTCCCGAGACCGGCTGTCACCATCTCACAACATCCCCAAAAAGAACAGTTTGGACCAAGTGGTTTGGGAAGTGATGGACAAAGTAAGAGGTGAGAAGTTAGTTCTACATCAAGAGTCTGAGCTTGGGCAAGGCCCACAGGAAGGTACTGTGGCCCCCTTAGGAAACATAAAGCTGCCCACTTCTTCCTCTCCATGTGCCCTTTGCTCCCAAACATGGCCAAGAATGTCCCCAGTGCTGGCACCATCACGAACTCTGGATTCCAACCTAGAGGAACCCTATTACACACATTCTCTAACAAATGCATTTTCTCAGTGGAGCACAAATCCTGCACAGGTAAATAGAGAGCTGTGCGATCTCCAGGCCACTAATATGGAAGCCCATTCAGCCAAGAATGAAACTTTCTGGATAAGAAAGACCAAAGCAAGAAAGAGTTTATTTCAACAAATTCCTCTGGACAAGAAGGTTAAGTCACTGGACCTGTCCATCATCCAGCAAAAATGGAAGAAGTGTGGAGGAGATCGAACAGAACTGCACCGATCCCTAACAGAGCAGCCTCAGGGCACTTTTGATTCAGAAAAGGTGAATGAATTGGAGGTGAGGGAGACGCTGGAAGAGAAAATCTCTGAATGCTTGTGCAGAAGATGAAGGAGGAGAGCCTTTGAGCAAAGGGGATCCAGTTATCTTGTCCTTAACAGACACGCCACTTCATGAATTAAACTCAGGTACTTGTGCGGATGGATTAATAAAGAAAGAAAAAGATAAAATGGCCTTATTTCATATAAGAGTTCATGTTTCATAATTGCTTTTATTAATCTTACCTGATCTCATCTTCTCTGAAGGTTTTCATGAAATCCATCTGCCTTTATCATTTACAGGAATCTTCATAAAAGTTTAAAAGGAAGTTTAGGTATATGCAAAACTAAGCACTATTAAATAAAATATGTGGTCTTCTATCTTGACAAATATGTAACAGATAAGACCTAAAAGACCAGGTTGCAAATCTAGAAGTCTCACACTGATAGGACTTCTGTGCTGGAAGACAATAGTGTGGGCAGAACTTCTCCCTATCCTGTGGTCTGTTTTCTTCTCTTTCTATGACCAGATATTTCCTGAGATCTCATGAAAGATCTTACACATTTACCCCAGTCTGCCCATGCAGTCACAATCTCTTATCTGTACAGGCAGCCATCCATTGGTCATCACTCAGGCCTAAGGTTGCATACACTAGTGTAGAGGTCAGCCTCTGAGAGAACAGATACCAGAACAGTTCCCTGAAACCAAATCAGGGTCATTTTACCAGCAGATTTTGTGATCCTACATAAATAGAGCATGTTTTAAAAGGGATAGCATAGGATTGAGGTGGGCACATCATTTAAGTCTATTGACTACTCCACACCCCATCTAAAACTTATTTACAGTCCTCTTACCTGGGTCTATAGATGATATTGTCATCAAGTTCAGGGGGGTTCTTGGAGAAGCTCTCAAATCCTTGTGTCAGAGAGAAGCTATGATTATTTACATTGCCATTTGCATGTATCTCACCTTGCACTAAATGTAGAACTGTACCTCAGCTCCTATTTCCCTCACCATCACATCACTGACACAGCAGAAGCTAAGTCATAACCGAGAGAACACTGACTAATTCATTCTATAAGGCTATCACTTAAGACCAAACAAGGACATTATTAGGAAAAAAAACTACAGATCAATACTCTCATAAATACAGATGTGAAAAGTTTCAAAATATCAGCAGCTCAAAACCTACAATAGATAATAAGGATTATACACCATGGCCAAACAGGACTTCTTCCAGGTATGCAACATTAGAAATGATATAATCATCACATCAACGGGCTTTTTAAAAATCACAGATCACATAGTTATATCAAAAGATGTAGCAAAGTCATTTAACAAAGTTCAGCACCCATTCATGATAAAAACTCAGAAAAGTAGGAATGCAGAGAAACTGCCTTAAGTGAATAAAACGTATTGATAAAAAGTTACAACTAACTGCATACCTAAATGGTTAGTCATGACAAACTTTCCTACTAAGCTTAGGTAAAAAGCGGTGATGTTCTTTCTTACCTCTACTTTTCAATGTAGCACTGAAAATCCTCACAAATGCAAGCCAGGAAAAGTAAATACATATGCTGAGAAGAGAAAAATAAAACTTCCTTCAATTATAGAGAAGCAGTTTTCTGTGTAGAAAATCCAAGAGAAATACAAACAAAAATACTTTTGCAATTAATAAATGCTTATCACAGGATTAGATTGTTTAAAAAGTTAATATAGAGGATGGGGATTTAGCTCAGCGGCATAAGCATCTGCCTTGCAAGCAGGCAGTCGTGAGTTCAATCCCTGGTACTGATTTTAAAAAAAAGTTAATATATAACAGTGAATTGCATTCTTATATACTAACAATAAATGAGTAGAATTTGACATTTGAAACACAATATCATTTATATAGTTTACCAATAATTAATACTTAGGTATAAATTTAACAAATATGTACAAAATTTATATAAGGAAAAATATAAAACTATGCTGAGAGAAGTGAAAAAACCTAAATAAATGGAGAAATACTCCGTGTTCATGCATAAGAGAATTTAATATTTTGAAGATGTCAATTCTTTCCAACTTGATATAAACTCAGTGCAATCCTAATCAAAACCCAGCAAATGATTTTGCTTATATAGCAACTAACCGATACTAAAATTTATATGTGGAAGCAAAAAGCAATGTCTGAGAATTGACAATAACCAATTTTAAAACAATTACCACAAAGATACAGTAATCAACATATCTGGCTTTGTTAAAAGAAATAGACAAAAGATCATTGGGACAGAATAGAGGGTTCAGAAACAGATACAAATAAACTCAGTCAATTTATCATTGACAACGGAGTAAAGGAATACAGTGGAGAATAGATATTCTTTCCAATAAATATTAGGAAAACAACATTCACATGCAAAAGAAAATGAATTTAGGCCTTGACCTTACACCTTTCATAAAAATTAACTTAAAATGGGTCATGACCAAAATGTAAAATACAAAACTATAAAAATCTCCATAGATAACATAGTAAATACAGTGGATGACCTTGCATTTGTCAATGACTTTTTAAATGTAACACCCAAAGCATGATCTATTTTAAAAAGAATTGATAAATTGGAATTCATTAAAATTAAATACTTCTGTGAAAGACACTGTTAAAAGAAATGAAAAAATCTACAGATGAAGGAAAATACTTACAGAATATGAATCAGATAAACATACTGTATACTCCAAAATACAGAAAGAAAAATCTCTAAAATTCACCAATAAGAGCACAATTACACTGATTTTAAAACAGGCTGACAACCTTAAAAGATACCTGAGTAAAAATTAACAAATGGAAAATGAGAATATGACAAAATGCTTCACATAACGTATCACCAGGAAAATTTAATTGTAACAACAATAAGATGTGTTATAGTTTAAATTTAAAATGTTTCCCCGTGTCTTGTGTATTCACACATGGGATTTTTGGGAGGTGATTGAATCCTGGGCACTATTCTCACTAGTGGACTAATTAGTTATGAGTTCATGACTGAATGTGCTGTTAGGATGGGAGACATAGAAGAGGGTAACTAGGAATCTTAGTTACTCTTTACTAGTCGCTGAGATAAAATATCTGATGCCCAAAGTTGGGGAAGGAAAGGTTTACTTCTTACAGGTTTTGGAGGTTTCAGTCCATACTCAATTGGCTCCAAAGCAGGGTGGCATAGCAGGGCGCAGTTCATGGCAGCTGCAAATAGCAAGACAGAAACCAGCAAGAGAGAGACACGCCTTCTTCCTGCCATTACATTGTATGCTGGCTCCACCCCTATGTGGGTGTAGCACTGACACCATCAATCCAAGCTCTAGACAAAGAACCAATCACAAATGCATAATGCAAATGCATGAGGCCTGGGAGCCACCCACATAAACCATGACCCTAGGGATCTAACATAAAAAAAAAAAATTTCTCTACAATTCCTCTCCTCTTTCTCAGATTCCTGGCTATCAGGGATTGAGTATCATTCCTCCACCATACTTCTACATCATGCAGTTTTATGTTTTGCAGCCAACCAACCATGCACTAAATTCTCTAAAATCTGTGAACTAAAATAAAGCTCTCTCCTTTTAAAATGTGGGTGCCATAGATTTTTGTTCCAGTAACCAGAAAGTAATGTTGTCACACCTTTTTTTAAAATGTTATTTAAAGAACAAAAGAAGCAAAACAGGAAAAAATTGTAGAAATAATACAGAATTTCAAAAAAAAAACTAAGAAATCACTCATTGATAAATTACATACTGTCATCTTAGAAGTAGTTATTTTCAAGTTACAAAATCAAAGTATAAAAAGTGGACACTCAGACAGTGAGACTGTAAACAGTTCTGCTCAATGATCCAACAAAAACTTAGTAATATGGTATTCTATCTTACACACTTAAACATACATGCAGTTATATCCTTTAGAGCATTTTCTTTCCCTCTCTTTTTTACAATAGCAGTTACACATTTTGAGTCTTCTTAAGCCTACAGTTTTTATTACTTTTTACACTAAAGACACAATGTGATATTTGCAAATACGATTCTTATTTATTTTACTTATGAGAATAGTATCAAGTTGCCTCCATTCACCTATAAAAGTCTCAAGATCATCCATTTTATAGCTGAGTAATACTCCATTGTATAAAAATACCACATCTATTTCATCCACTCTGCAGTTGATAAGCATCTTGGTTGTTTCCAAGATTTAGCTATTACAACGTGGATGCACATACCTCACTGTGACATGACCTTTTAAGTTTTTCTGGAAAAATACCCAGGAGGGGAATAGCTGGGTTGAATGGAACTTCCAATCCTAGTGTTCTGAGAAATCTATAGTGATTTTCATAGTGGTTGCAGCAGTCTACCCTCCCACCAACAATGGAGCAGTGTTCCTTTTTCCCTGCAGCCTCACCAATATTTGTTATCAGTTGTTTTGTTGATGGCAACCATTCTTTCTGGAGTGAGATGGAATCTCAATGTTGTTTTAATTTGCATTTCTTGAATGACTAGTGATGGTGAACATTTCTTTTTCTAGAAGCTTGAGATTAAAGCATTAGGTTATTTGTGCTCATTCTGTTTTCTTGATATGACAATTTATTGCTGTATATTTCCCTCTTAAGACTGCTTTCATTGCATCTCACAGATTGCAGTATGTTGTTTCTGCATTTTCATTGAAATGTAGGTATTGCTTTATTTCTTCTTTAGTTTCATCTGTAGCCCACTGGTTGTTCAGAAGGTTGTTATTTATTTAAGTTCCATTTATTTATTTATGCAGGTTTTGCAATTTCTTTTGCCAGTAATTTCTAATTTCAGTGTTCTATCATCAGATATCTATGGAATAATTTCAATGCCTTTGCATTTACTTAAGAATGTTTTATGGGATTATATATGGTCTGTTTTGAGAATGTCCCATGCACAGTGGAGAAGAATGTGTATTCTGATGTGATTGGGTAGAACACTCTGTAAATATCTACTAAGTCCATTTGTTCATAGGTATGAGTCAGTTCTGTTATCTCTTTGCTAACTTTTTGTCTAGTTGATCTATCTGTTTATGACAATGGAGTATTAAGTTATAATTGTGGTCTTCTGTATTTGGTTTTCATGTCCATTAGTATTGTCTTATATAGTTGGGTGCTCCTGTATTTGGTGCATATATATTTATAATTGTTAGTTCTTCCTCTTGAATTTTTCCACTAACGAGTATGTAGTGACCTTCTTTATTTCTTTTAATCATTTTTAGATTTGAAGTTCACATTGTCTGCAAATAGAATAGTTACCCCTGCTTTTTTCTGGGTTCTTATTGCATAGAATACTCTTTCCATCCTTTGACTTTTAATCTATGAGTTTCCTTTTGGGCCAGATATGCTTCTCGTATACAGCATATTGTGAAATCATGTTTCTTGATCCATTCTGTCAATCTATTTCTTTTGGTAGGTGAATTGAGGCCATTTACATTTATGAATATAACTTATATGTACTGGCCATGTTATGTTCCAGTTGTTTGCTTTCTGCTTTTCCCCCTTGTTTAATTACTTGTCCTGCCTGGTGATTTCTTTTTGTCATTGTTCTGGAGACCATGGTCATTTTTATATTTATCTAGTATGTCTTTCAATACTCTTTCTAGGGTTAGTTTGGTGGACATGAATTCCTTTAGTTGTTCTGTGTCACGGAAGTATCTTGTTTCTCCATTAAATTTGAATGAAAGTTTTGCTGGTACACAGTCTGGATTAAAAGTTGTTTTCCTTCAGGGCATGAAATACCTCACTCCAAGCTTGTCTTGACTTGAGGGTTTGTGCTGAAAAGTCTGCCGTGATTCCAATGGGCTTTCCTTGATAAGTGAGTTGTGTCTTTTCTCTAACAGCTTTAGTATTCTGTTTTCATGCTGTATGTCTGGGATCTTATTATGTCTGGGTGTAGACTTATATTGGTTGTGACTATTTGGTGTTCTATATACCTCACTTATTGTATATCAGATTTTTTCCCCATGTTTGGGAAATTTTCTGTTATTACTTCTGTGAATAGTTTATCTATGTCATTTTCATTGACTCCTGTGTCTTCACTGATTCCTGTTAGTCTCATATCGTTTCTCTTAACATCATCTTGAAACTACTCCATTGTCATTTCATGCTGCTTTGTTGTTTTTCAAAGTCCTTTCATGATCACTAATTATGATCCTGTCCTCAAGGTCCAAAATTCTATCCTCAGCTTCATTTAAATGGTTTTGCCAGCTTTCAATAGAATTTTTTTCCTTTGATGTTTCTTTAAGCTTGTTTTGTGGATTATTCTTGTTTTCTATATTGTTCATTCAAGGTTTCAGTCAGTTTCCCATGCTCCTGTACTTTTTTATCTACTTCTTTTCTAGCTGCACTGAGCAACTCCTTTAATAACATTGTTATTACTGTCTTTATATGAGAGATTACTTCTAATTTCATTTTCTCTATAACCTCATGGATTTTTTTATTTCACTTATTATCTTTTCAGAGATTTCCAATATATGACTTTGAATTCCTCTATTTCAATGTCTTCTGTACTTGCTCCTGATGGATTAGATGTTTGAGATTGCATTTTGCTTTTT